TTTTTTCGATCAGGTAGGGTACAAGTGATTTCAAAACATTTCAGCTGGTTTATAGCCTATATAACGTGTGAATATTTTTTATCTTGTATAAGATGCATTTGGTTGAGTTACGCTGCAGTAAAGCGCTTCAATGTAGTACTACGGTGATTATCTCTTCAGCGTGCAGCGCTAGCAGGACAAATAACAATGCAGAATATTAATAACTATGACTGGGACTGTCATATACATAACATTATAATGAGAACACTGTTATAATAAAATGCTGTGATTTTTTAGAGTTTAGTTGCTGTGTTTCTGCACGTTGTTGCGTGAAGAAAGCGTCCACAAAAGGAGTTCATTTAGAGACACGTTCATGTGCATTTGGGGTATTTTGTGCAGATAGCTTATATAAGTCGTAATATTAATGTTATGTTGTATAAATAACGAAGCGTATTCTATATGAGATAAATGATGAGTTATATCCCATGGATTAAAAACCTGCTATCAAATGCTTCACTCTACTGGTCATCTTCAGCGCACACAGCTCATAACAGAAATGCAGAACATTAATAACTACTGTCATATAGATAACTTTATAATGAGAGCACTGTTGTAAAACTGTTGTAAAAACCCCAAAAAATGAATTATTTCGCTGAGGTTTAATGTTAACTATATTTAAATCAAAACATAAAAATAATTTTTGTATCTGCGAGGCGTCCGTTACACATTTACCCTGTGTGTTAACGTCGGTAATTATGACTGCCGAATGTCTGACTTGATTCTTGGTAATGTATTTTGCCCCCACAGCCCCGCACCCAAACATATGATTCGACTGTCAGTCGACTATCTGCAAGATTAGAAAATTTCGATTTGACTTTGCAAATCCTTAGTCGGGGACACCCCTAGTTGTTACAGAAATTACATTATGTGATTGATTAGACATGGATCTAAACCTTGCAGAACAGTGGACCTCAAGAGGTGGAATTGCCCACCCCTGAAGATGAAGACGAGACACTTCAGCAATGTAGAAATACAAGAAATGTCTGTGCCTCAATTATAGGACACTTAGGTCCGTTACACATTTACCCTGTGTGTTAACGTCGGTAATTATGACTGCCGAATGTCTGACTTGATTCTTGGTAATGTATTTTGCCCCCACAGCCCCGCACCCAAACATATGATTCGACTGTCAGTCGACTATCTGCAAGATTAGAAAATTTCGATTTGACTTTGTAAATCCTTAGTCGGGGACACCCCTAGTTGTTACAGAAATTACATTATGTGATTGATTAGACATGGATCTAAACCGTGCAGAACAGTGGACCTCAAGAGGTGGAATTGCCCACCCCTGAAGATGAAGACGAGACACTTCAGCAATGTAGAAATACAAGAAATGTCTGTGCCTCAATTATAGGACACTTAGAAATGTCATACATGCAGCATATTTTGAATATTACATATTTGTTTACATCAAATAAATCATAGAAGTATTGATGACTTCGGCTGTTTTTTATACCCTAATAGGGCAACATATCCTGGGAGATACAACTCATGAAATCCAAAATATATTAAATATTTCTAAAATCCATATGATATAAAAAGTGACAAGAAATTATTTTTTGCTGATCATTTTCCACTCTTGCCTGCTTTAGGGTCAAAGTCTACATGAAACAGCATTCATTTAGTACCTCTTTTTACCTTCATAATCTGACATATTTTGTGAACTGAGGAACTGATCTGAGGAACATATTTCACATAATTTAGCAAATAGGGTTTATAATTTAGTATATTTGGATTTCACTTGTTTACATCAAATAAATCATAGAAGTATTGATGACTTCGGCTGTTTTTTATACCCTAATAGGGCAACATATCCTGGGAGATACAACTCATGAAATCCAAAATATATTAAATATTTCCAGATGATATAAAAAGTGACAAGAAATTATTTTTTGCTTATCATTTTCCACTCTTGCCTGCTTTAGGGTCAAAGTCTACATGAAACAGCATTCATTTAGTACCTCTTTTTACCTTCATAATCTGACATATTTTGTGAACTGAGGAACTGATCTGAGGAACATATTTCACATAATTTAGCAAATAGGGTTTATAATTTAGTATATTTGGATTTCACGTTGACTTTAAGCATTTAATTTAATTAATAAAGGATTGGCGTTGACTTGTTTTTGTCTTAAGCTAGTCTTTGTATTTCTCTAGTATTGGTGTATTTGCGTATCTCTTCATCATTCCCACAAAAGCAGGATGATCAGTGGTGGTAATATTCTCAGGTTATATTTGTAACCAAATAAAATGATGACTGAGACTTCTTATTGATGTTCTATGAAAGCGCATGGATTGAACACATAACAGGGCATGCAACCCATCACTTTTCTATAGGAATGTTTCACACGTCTATAAACGTCTACACTGTTTATAAACCAATGTCTAATTTTGCATGCATTTTATGTTTCAAATCTACATTGGTAGGTAATGTGTGTGCAGAGCATGCTGGGATAGTTTTACTCCCACTGAGACAAATCAACTGACCAACACAGTTTTAAATCAATACAACTGATCACCTCCTCACTTTCTGGCAGTGCATATACTTCCTGAGTGTTCCGATTTTTACTTTAATTTCAAAGATGAAAAATTTGCCTCAGAAGAGACTTCCACATTTTCTGATTTAACAATGTGAACAAGTTTGGACTCTGTTGCAGCATTTCTACATTGAGTTTATTTCTAATATCTAAATTAGGGCTTCAAAACAGTTGGAAGTCTTACATGGTGGCAGTCCTAATTCACACGGTGCATGAGGTGAGGTCAGAGAGGAAGTTCCTCTGAAAGCTGTTCAGAATAAAATTAATTTACTGTGAGATTGGTTCTTAGCTATTGTTACACAAGTCTCTCCCTCCGTACAGTGTTAGGCTCTTCTCTACCTTTGACGCTTGTCTTCAGGTTTTGAAGCACAACCTTTGCACAAAATATGCTGCATTAATGAAGCTTAAGTTAAATAAGTTCAAAACAATCCATTTAAATGCAAACAGGAGGAATGTCAGTAGAATGTGTTCTGATGTAACTCTCCTAACTCTCTCCATGAGTACTCTCTCTATACAAAGGCCATACTATGAATTAGATTAGCAGTGAAAATTTATCAGGTGCATCATAGAAACAGGGTTCAGAACCACTGCATTAAATGCTTACAGGATATCATTACATACTGAAAACTTCAGGAAAAACATGTTTGATTCAAGACAAAGAAAACGTGCATTATTGGCCTGCAATTTCTGTTGGCAGATGTTGAACGGCATCACTCATCTATTATAACCTCTCTGCTAAACTACTTCATAAATTCTCTTAAAGACTGTACAGGGAACAGGACATCTTGAGTCTCCACAGCTGCCCAAACTCAAGTTGCTAACTGTCCATAAGAAACTAGCACAAGCAGACGGTAACAGTAAAATCGAGAATAGCTGCAGTCGCTATATTTACTGTACTGCTTTGACCAATGCTGCACTGTTTTTATTTGTAACACCTCTGGGGAAGGTGGTGAAAAGTACCTGAAAACTCAAGTCATTAAAGTTTATCTTGAACACTGCATAGATGAAGGTTTAGGGACATTCCCTGAGGGAGGTGTTCCAGGATCTCTATCACACTGGCTTAGTTTTATGCAAATAATTCAAGTCAAAAGATGGATAAGATCTTGAGGGATGACACTCATAGATGTGTTCCATCGAGAGTTTACACATAAGAACTCCCCTCTCTCATTGACTTATCAGAACATTTACCCATCTGCACCCCATTTACCTTATATGTAAATATATCATTTAATTCAGCATTCATTTCTTCAGGTTATTTTTCTTCAGTAGTAAGTGTTTAGACAATTGGATACAGAAATAAATTAATGCTGATGAATGATAACATTGCTGATAACAGTTACCAACATACAGTAGGCTCATTGGACAAATGTGCTTCTACCTAATTTTTGCAAAGCTCCAAAAACCTATACATATAATTGAAACACCATATTAAACACTATTGGCAGTGAAACACCAACAATAACGGACCATTTTTCCAATGAGTCTGGGTTACAGCTACATCTGTTCGGAGATCTAATTATTAGGAATTAGTTTGATATTCTGGGTTATAGGGGTGTAACGATATGCTCAGGTCACGATACAGTATGTTCACAATATGATACTTATCACGGTATTTTGAACAAAATTTTAAAAATGAAACTGAAATTTCAAAAACATTAACACATTTCAATAACTTTCTTTGTTGTACATACAAGATCACATTTCAAGGTTTAATAAAAAACCTTCTGTATTCAAATTAACAACTGAATAGGTCGGTCTGTCACTGAAAAATTTATGTTAAATTTAACATGAACTTAGTATTAAGAAGCCTAAGACAGAACTTCTTAAAGCAATAAAAAAAAAACTATTAATTAAATGGTGTTCTGTTCAAGTAAGTTCAACATAAACAGCTTTAGGTTTACATTTATTTTTTATTTATTTTTTTATTCCCACAGGTATTTGCCACTGAACATTGAGCTGTACAATGCTCTATTTTTTTATTCACAGTTTTATTTTTACTAACCTGTCTACATATGATCACCATGGTCAAGACAATAAACTATATAAAATCGCACCTTTGTAAGATATCAGTCAGCATTTGAACTGCTGTGTGTGTTTTGTAGTTTTTCATATGTATCATTACATTATTCAAGTAAGCTCCAAGCCAATTCCTGCATTTAAAGTTGTAATCCGACAAAGGACGCAGCAAACCAGTGTAACTTACCTGGCCTCGGTCTTGGCTAAGCCTGAGGTACATCACCGTCTCCTCCATTATGACGTAAAACATAAAAACAAAAATGAGCAATTCTGGCTCCACCTATCCTGGCAGGACTGTCCTCTCGTCAGCTCTCCTCTCGCACCGTTGCTATGCCACAGAGCGCTAATCGGGAACCTCCGTTGTCGCAATTAGGAAATCCTGCGAAGGCAGAGCGTCCTTCATACACTTCGGAGGGTCCCTCGTGCACTTCGGAGGCCTGGCCTTCGAAGTGTGCGCACTTAACTTTGGGACACAGCTTACGAGTTCCCAACAACTCTGAGAGGCCATCTTAAAAAGGTAAAGTCCCTCCTACTTGGACTAAAGCCATTTGGAAATTAAAGGTAATAAAGAAACTTAAGAAATGCAAATAAATATGCTTTGACAGCAACAAAGAGGTAAACTGTTATAATATTACAATATGCATACCAATTTGGAACAAAACAAACTGAATTAATTATTAATACTTAATGCTCAACCAAGAATTCTACAGATCATCAACCTCCCCCTCATAAATGAAAACAATGAACTGTGCCATCTATTGGCGGGAATACGATCGTCAAAATGGTGGCATTTACTAGTGATGGAAAACCGAGGCTTTCTGAACCGTTTGAGGCTTTCATGAAATTGTGCCGAAAAACGGTTCATTACTCTAAACTTTTTAACACAGTGCGCATTAGTGACATCTGGTGGTCAGACTTGGTTTCTCCACCAAATCTAACAAAACATCGCGGAGCAGAGAATGGTTTCAAAAAGTTTTTAATCTGTGCCAACTCGTGTCATGTGTAGTCCGGTCACCGGATTCACATATTGATCAATAATATAAAATATACAAGTGTGTGATTATAATTAATAGTAGTAGCAAAAATATTTTGGGTGGGCTGTTCGGGGTCTCTGAGAACCCAGCTATAAAACATGATAAAATGCAATAGAGGTGTGACATGCATTCAGTTTCTATCTGGTGTTGAGGTTATTCTAAACTATTCTACTGAATCCCAAATGAGTGTACACACACACACACACACACATACACACAACCAAGTCAATGTAAAGTCAAACACAAGAGTCATGCGAAGCGCAGATTTTTTTCAAACCAGCTGTCCTGATCTTCTGATACTGCATGACGTTCAAAGCTTCAAACGTCATCAATCACGTGGTGCTGTCATTTCGATACAAGTATCGGCACAGTGTGTGATACAATAGTGCTTTGAAAACTGCGTCGAAACCTCTGTATCAATCGTCCCATCACTAGCATTTACTGTGTTTTTTGTCTGTTTGGAATGGGAAAATGTTCCAGTACGTAAGTATGACTAATTACAATATGTACGTTGTAATATTGAAACAATAAACATTTAACATGATTACCGGTCTTGCTTTACTTCTTAACACAACACAATACATAAATCAACATAGTGAAATAAAACACATGATCAGTGACACAAACATATCTGTGTTAACTGGTGTTCAATTTGCGCAAAACAGATAGGAAAGCATATGCATACATGTACCCGTGTCAAATTAAGAGTCCTTCTCATAATAAGAGCCTCTAGTCACAGAGCCTCACTGTGACACCAGCCTACAGCTGAATGAATGTAAAGTGTCTTTAGGTGGCTCTTGGTGTGCTGAAAGACGGATGGTGAGGGCAAGACATCGACTGACAGTGGCAGGTAGAGTCGCCTGTCGAGCCGGTGATGTTCACTCGGCCTGCTGCAGCTCCCGTAATTGTTTAAAGCAATCGATTTCCTTCTGCTCAGTCAGTTTCTCTTATCTGCTTTTTACCCTGGTCTCTAAAAGCCACATTATCACTGAAGGTCTTTTGTGTCATAAACTTTATATGCCTTTGTTCCACATTCTGAACAGGTATTTGGTTACTGATGTCTGCACACTCTTGTCTCAAGCACTTTCAATCCTTCTATTTATTATGTATTGTGGTGTGAAGCAATTTGGTCCAATCAAATAGACCTAAGAAACAAAACGTCATTCCTACATGACTTTATGGACACATTTTAATAGTTAAGAGAAAGCCCCAATAAAATGGATTACTTCTTTATAAAAGAAGCTTAAAAAATCTTTTATACTAGTGACTAAACTCTGACAGACATGGAATAATAGTAAACCCAACCATTGGTGGCTGCTGTTTGACCAGTCATGAAGAGGCATTAAATCATACTATCATTTCTGATATTTTCCTCTGGACATACTCATATAATGACCATGGTAACATCTAACCAACACTTTTCATCACCATCAGGTTTGAAGAGAGAATAAATTTTAGCCTTTCACGAGTCTGCCCTGTATCACAAGTGTTGTTGCCATAGAAACACATACATTCTAATTCCCACCATCAGTTTACATGAAACTGATATTGACAGAAATCCACTTTCCCAGTGGATCATCTTGCTGATGAAGATGTTTCCAGACATTTATGTTTCTCTCAAACAGCGCTCTTCCTGTCACAGTCAGTTGCAGCAAAGGAAAAATTTAGCTGGTTCTAGTTGCAGCACTTTTATTAAAACTCAGAAGACAATCCAAAAATGAGACACACAACAAAAAGCAAACTAACCAAAACAATGACAAAAATAGACAATGAACAACAGAAACTGAGGGTTATATATACAAAGGAGCAGTAATCAAGGGAACTAACAGGTGTGAACTAATCAGGAACCAAGACAACTAACAAGTGGCCAGAAAATGTGGACATACGAAACTTGGACAACCAAGCACAGAAACTAGTACTAAAGCATAACAGAACATACGTGTGACACTTCTTTTGCACAGTTTTGCCCTTTATATCTTCTTATTCCATTAGGTTAAATTAGGTCACAATTATCAAGTCAAGTTTATTTGTACAACACTTTACACAATGCATGTTGTTTCAAAGCAGCTTCACAGAAAATCAAAACAAATTTAGGTTATAAAATAATCGTGGAAACATTTCTAAAATGCTGGTTGCCAGTTTTCTTGCTAAAATGTCCAGTTTTCTTATCATGATTATAACATTATTCAAAGGTTACAAAAAATGTTTCTTAAAACATTCTACTAAATATTATGTTATTTGAACATTTATTTTTAAAATTCTAAATGTTAAAATGACCAGTTTTCCTGCTGTGATTATAACATTATTTATAGGTTACAAAAATGTTTCTTACAATATTCAAGTACAATTAACATCATAAGTTGTTGTTCTAAAAACATTTGTTTCTCAACATTTTGAGAACTTATATGAAATATTAATAAAGTTATAAGAACATTTTGTACAAAAATGTATATAACTTTAAAAAATGTGTGAGACACACAATATGCAAAAGCAAACACTTTATTCAATATGATTTTAACTCTTCTAAAAATTGTATTTTTGCATAGTAACTCTACACACAAACATAAAATAATTAGCCACATACACGCCAAACTACACACAGATGTGAAAAATATAAAACACTAAAAAATTTAAACATCTCAAAAAAGGCTTGATTCTGTTCCAAATTTGTCGTAAGGGAGAAACATGCATCATACATAAAGATCATTCACATCAACACTGAGAAGACAGGAACTGAATTTTGTAAATGAAGAAAAACAATCTTGGTTTAGGAGACACAACAGCAGCAGTATAACTGCCTCAATGAGGATCAGAACTAATCCAAGACAGCAGCGATCTACAGACAGAACATCAGTGTTAGAGAGAAGACAAACTGAATCAGATCACATGGATCTCTCTGTAAACTCATAATCTAGCACAGTTTTATCACTAGTAGAAATTTGTATTGTGAGCACTTCCTGTGTTTATTTGCCTCTTTATGATGAATCGCTTGCTGTATTCCTCAATTGCAAGTCGCTATAAATGAATAAATGTAAATGTAAATGAAGAAGGCAAACTATTTCAATATACGCATTTCATTTCATTCAATTACAATTTATGAAATATGTCAAACCTTTAAACCGCAGGGGGGAAAAAATCAACCCGCAGCAACAATTTACAAGTAGCCCGATTCCACAGGAAAACCACCAACTTGGCAACACTGCTACTGGAAACCATTAGGTAATGGCTTTAATAGTTAACGGTTGTTGGTTTGTAATGTTTGTAATGGTATTTGTAGCTGAAAACATTACAACTTTTGTGATGGTTTCTATTGTTTATTTCAGCAGGATTTGATTATGAAAGACTCTGAAACCAGCCAAACTCTCATCAAATCAGACGCCTCCCTCATTACCTTTGCATTTTCCCCACAGAAACAAGAGCCTGTCAGCAGAGCCAAGCAATTGAATAATGCAGGTTTTCTTTACGTTATTGATCAAAGCTCCAGGTAAATTATCTTCCCACCCTGAGTGTTTGGGAACAACTTGCGTGCCTGTAAATTCTCCCATACACTATAAATATAAAAGAGAGACACATGTTTAACGGAGGATGAACAAAAGCCAGAGTGATTTGCTCTTGGAAAAATAAGACAACCTGTTTAAGAAATCATTCTTGTTGCATAAACGCATGGTTTGAATCTGCAAAAGTGCTTTAAACGGTACGAGTGAGGTCTGGAGGAAGACATGGATATTTTGGGAGAGACTAAGCCTTCTCTTTGTGTCTTATTATTACAGATGATTTTGTGCAAATGCAATGAGATGCACTTCAAGAGCCACTAAAACCCATGAAGCCTTCCAGAGAGGCTTGAGGAAGCAGCAAAGCACTTGAATATATTATATTAAACAGGAAATTAAAAGGAGAAACCACAGGGGGTTTGGGATATACTGAGGTTCCTGTTCTCCTCTTCACACTTATTGAAGTAAATGAGGGCTGTTGGGAATAGTCTAAGTGAAAACACAGAACTACACACTGCAGTTTCTTTAAGGACGACGCAATGTCAGAGCTTTATACAGCAAACCAGAACTTCCACAAGCTGTTTGGATCATCATATCTGCTCATATAAACAAGGCTATTAGTGGGAGGTTACAAATGTTAAATTAAAGCACTGCAGAATGACACTGTTCATCAAATATTCATCTCACTGTAAAGACAATGGTATGATTCAGTTATTTCTAAAATCAGAGACGTGTGAGCTGAAGAGCTTAAAATGTTGAAATCGAATGTTGGAGAGGCTCAAAACAGCTAAACTAATACAGATATTAAGGTTACAATGTGTATGAAGTTGCTGTGAAGCACAACAGCTCTTGAAATGCAATGCACTGCAATAATAATAAAAAACTGAACACTGTGAGAGTCAGAAAGCCTCAGCTCTGCTATCACATTCCCTCTCTAGCTGATTCAATAAGACTCACATTGTGTGGTCACATTTTCACTCTCATATCGCATTTTGGCAGCTGTTTCGCACAGAATGCCGTCTGGAGCCCCGGTGCGCTGAGGTTACACTTCAACGTCTCATTACAAATGCTGTTTTTCTTGCTGCTAAACATGAATGTGCCGCAGCTCCACATGAGTGACCTGTTCATTACCGGACTCTTGGTCAGCTTCAGCCACCATCGATTATTCTTCCTCATCTCGTTCCAAACGTGTATGAGATTCTTTCTTATGTGGAAAACAAAAGATTTGATTTAAAGATATCTTGTGTAATGTTTTATAATAATGTTTTTTGTCTTTTAAACAGAAGTAAATGGGCTCCAATGTTGATTGGTTCCCAACAATCTTCAAAATATCTTCTGGTGTGTTCCACAGAAGAAAAAGCCATACAGGTTTGGAGCAATGAGAGGGGAGTAAACAATGACAGAAAGATCATTTTTGGCTGAACTGTCCCTTT